AATATTGTGTAATTTTTCTTTATTCAATATAAGTACATTTTAAATCAATTACATGTACCAGAGTTAATCCCTAAGTAATGTCACAGCTGTTTTAAACCTTTAATGATCATATGTTGGAAAAATTTGAAATACAAATTCCCCCATTCAATTTTAATATTTTAAGTTAAAAGAATCCATTCGATCTTAAAAAACACTGCTAAATATTTCAATCAAGGTATTTCACTCATTATGATGTTATAGGTTTTTGCAAACCTGTCATATCTGTTTAAAATTCATTCTCAATAGAAATTAAATTTATCTTTTGGACAAGTCCCTTCACAGAAGAACGTTTCCAATTGATTAGTACAACAATAGGTATATAAATTTTTTTATTTAATCAATTAGTTTATAACACTTTGTATCTTGATGATGTGAACAGATAGTTGCTAAAAATATAAAACAATACAAAATAGGATTGGAGCAAACATGTTCAATATGTCATGGATAGGTGCCATCTTCACTCTTTCAATCTTTAAAAAAAAATCAGGACAATAACTCCTTTTGTTGTCTTTGTGGGTCAGAGTATTTTCCTCTATTGTACTTCTAATGTAAAATATTTCATGTTATTCACAATTCAAACACATTTGTAGGAGAAACAATTATTTTAGAACTTATGATCATCAAATTATGTTTTTTAAACCAGTTTTCACCCAATTTTTATCAAAGGGTCAAAGTTGCTAATATCCAATTTTTAATGTTGGCATATACAAGGATTACATATATGAAGTATAAATTCCTAGCCCTTTTCAAAAGTTATGGTCTTTTAGGTTAAAATGCATAAGTATGTAAATCTATAAGGTCAAGGTCAAAATAATTGTCAAAGTTGTTGATATCCAATTAAAATTGCCACAAAGAATATGTATGTGAAAAATGAGGTTTTGTCTATCGCTGCAAAAAATGTGACCAAAGTTAAAGTTTCTTAATACTCAAAATTAAGGTCCAATGTCAAGGTCAAAGGGTGAAAGTTGTTGGTATCCAGTATAAGGTCATAATCTCTCAACTTTCATATTTGACTTTACGAAAGCCCTAGCTCTAGCAGAAGTTATGGTCAAGGAAAAGTTTATACATAAGTGATAAAATCTCAAAGGTCAAGGTCAAAAGATAAAGGTTGTTGGTATCCAATGAAAGGTCTTGAAATAAGGAATACATATTTGAAATATAAAATTAGTAGCTACTGTTTAAAAGTTGCGATCTAAGGTTACATTTTAAAAATAAAAAAACTCCAAGGTCAAGGTCAAAGGGTAAAAGTTGTTCGTATCCAATGATAGTCTTTTAAAAAGGATTACATATGTGAAGTACAAAAGCCTTAGTCCAAAACACGTTCAAAAGTTATGGTCAAGGTTAAAGTTTTTTCATAAGGTACGTGAAACTCCATGGTCAAGCTCAAAAGGTCAATTGTTGGTATCTAATGAAAGGCCTTGCCACAAAGAATACTTTTGAAATTTTTAAGTCCTAGTATCTACCATTCAAAAGTTAGTGTTTTACAAAGTATTACATTGGAACCTGGATAAAATGTTAAACTCCAAAGTCAAAATCAAAAGGTCAAATTATTTAAAGTTTTGGTCTTGTCACAAGAAATACACATGTATAATATGAAATACATAGCTTTACTAAATCAACATTTGGGCAAGGATAAAGTTTGTTGTGACGGACAGACTGACGGACAGACGAATGAGCTTCTTGTCCCCTCGCTTTCGCGAAAGCAGAACGCATAATCATGTGACTGATAAGTATAAACTATATGTAATCTCGTTAATTACCGTTAAATATATGCAAGCATAAAAATTATATGATATTCAGTTATTATTATATTGAAATTGCGAAATCAATGAGGACTTCCAGTTATATTTATAAAAACAAAGAACAAGGTACAGTTTCAATACAAAATATTTAGCCCTATATTTTTCTTAATACATCAAAGTGATATAGGAAATCAAAATTCACTCTTTCTGAATCATTGGAATTCCCTGCATAAAAATACACAAATCGTTTTTCTCATATGACCTTCTAAATGCTTATTGTGACGTCATTAACTTGTGCATTTTCCGTATTTTCTTAAAATGTTGCAGAATACATCAATTTTCACTGGAATATTTTCTTTCAGAAGACATACTCTGCCACTCTCGCCCAGAGAGATTTTTAGATAACTGATATGTAATTTTTCATAGCAGTTTACATAATCCAAAAATTAAAGAGGGCGACGGTGGCTAAAGGAAAATCAGCACAGAAATGAGTCATTTTAAGGCTTTTCTGCATTAAACCTTAAAAGTGTACCAAATTAATGACGTCACATATCCTGAACGACCCCCCCCCCTTCGTGTCATATTATTTAATGACCTATCATATTCATCTACTCAATGATTGTTAAAGCCAATTTCAAATCTTTTTAAGAACATTAAATCTTTAGGGGACAATAAAGCTCAAACCGTACCTTCTTTTTGACAAAAAATGACAAAAGGTTCTTGAAATATGGTGACTATCAAAAAAAAAAAAATGCAGACCACAGAAACTGCCATATAGAATACGCTCTTTGAGTCTTCGTCTATAAAAATTAAAAGTTTTTGGACAAAATAAACTTGTAGATGAAAATACAGGTACATTGTAAAAGACTAGAATTAGGACAATCAGGAATTATTTTACAGAACAATTGAAAAGATTTTTAAAGTTTTCCTATAAATGGCCTAAATATCTATATTTCGCCACGTGATACTAAAAATAGTAATAGGAACCCCCCTCAACCTTTGTCCACACTAGCTAGTTGTGGCCAGCTACTGTCATTAACATCTCAAATTTTACAATATACTTCCTAATTATGCAGCTATGACATCTAAAAAGTGCCAGAAAAAAGTGCAATAATGTACATTTTCTCGATTATTCCAGGAGTCTATTTTTAGACCATTGTTGCTTTAAAAAGAAACAAGAGTTCATCCTCAATATTGTAGCAATTATTGTACAAACAAGTGTTCATTCTGTTGGCATATTGTAGAAAGCATTATATTTATAAAGACATTTTGTACGGAGATTCAAATTAGCATAAAACTGCAATTTTCCCTAATATTAAGAGTACTTCATATCTATATTATGCCACGTGATACTAAAAATAAAATTGGTAAACCATCTCAACCATTGTCCACACCTGCTAAATGTTGTCATTAACATCTAAAATTTTACAATATACTTCCTAAGTAATCAGTAATGACATCTATAAAGTGCTTAAAAAGGTGCAGTAATCTACATTTTCTCCATTATTCGAATAATCTATTTTTAGACCATTGTTGATATGAAATGAAAGAAGAGTTCATCCTCAATATTGTGGAAATTATTGTACAATCACATGTACATTCTGAAAACATATTGTAGAAAGCTTTATATTTGTTAAAACTTTTAATATGAAGCTTATAATTAGAACAAAAATGCCATTTTTCCTAATATTCAGAGACATCTCTATATTTAGCCACCTGATACTAAAAATAGAAAAAGAGGAATTCCCCTCAACAATTATCCAAACCAGCTAGTGGTATCCAGATCTTGTCATTAACATCTAAAATTTTACAAAATAATTCCTAATTATGCAGCAACTACATCTATAAGTGCCTGAAAGGGTGCAATAATCTACATTTTATCAAGTATTTCGAGTAATCTATTTTTAGACCATTGTTGCCATAAAATGAAGCAAGAGTCCATCCTCAATATTGTAGCAATTTTAGTGCAAACACATGTACATTCTGAAAGCATATTGTAGAAAGCTTTTATCTGTTAGGACTTTTTATATGAAGCTTCGAATTAGAACAAAAATGCAATTTTTCCTAATATTCAGAGACATCTCTATATTTAGCCACCTGATACTAAAAATAGAAATGGGAATTCCCCTCATCAATTATCCATACCTGCTAGTGGTATCCAGATCCTGTCATTTACATCTAAAATTTTACAAAATATTTCCTAATTATGCAGCAACTACATCCAAAAATTGCCTGAAAAGGTGCAATAATCTACATTTTCTTAATTATTCGAGTAATCTATTTTTAGACCGTTGTTGCCATTAAATGAAACAAGAGTCCATCCTCAATATTGGAGCAATTTTTGAACAAATACTTGTACATTCTGAAAGCATAATGTAGAAAGCTTTATATTTGTTAGGACTTTTTATATGAAGCTTCCAATTACAACAAAAATGCAATTTTTCCTAATACATATGTATTCAGTGACATATCTATATATAGCCACCTGTTACTAAAAATAGAAATTGGAATTCCCCTCAACCGTTGTCCATACCAGCTAGTGGTGTCCAGCTCTTGTCATTAGAATCTCAATTTTTACAACATACGTTCTAATTATGCAGTAATGACAATTTAAACTTTGCCAAAATTTGATTTTTCACATTTTTCTAAAATATATCTATTTATAGATGCATGTTACTAAAAATGGGAGCAAAAGCCCACTTATGTTTTTTCATGAAATGACACTACTTATTCCCAAGTATAATAACCCACGTAAGATTTGGGAAATTTCCGCGGACAATTTTTCTTATTTAGCCTCAAAGATCTCAAAAAATTACAACTTCCCCATTTTTCAATTTCTTAGAAACCATGTCAGTTTGCATGACCTTTTTCTTACAGGAAGAATATTTCTAGAATAAACGATTATATGCCCTGTGTACCTTAAAAGGTCATGTTATCATATGATCCAATGATTTTTGTTAGAGTGTATTAGATACCGAGAAATATTCATTTACATTTCCTAAATTTTCATGTTTTCATTCAGTCAAAATGGGCCAAAAATGGCCGAATTCAATGGATCCGTCTCCATGGCAACCAAGTGCACGTGTGGAACTTCTGACACCATATTTACTAGTTTTGTACCAAGACACACCTATGGTAAAAATTTCATCAAAATCTGAGACATGTCGTTTCCAAGCCCTATAGTAAATTCGTTGGTGCTTACAGAGAATGCGTGTTAATATGAAACTAAAACTAGAAGTCTCTATGAAATTCTTCCAAGAGACTACACCTTCTACAGTTAGTCCAGTCCGAAATTAAACTTGCCAAGGAGAATTATTTTATTTAATGGTGTAGCCATAGTGTTAGGTTTCCGTACTTCTTTTTTCTACTTATGTTAGAAGATTAACAGTAAAGCTCGAGTCAAATAAGGAAGATCTTTTTGTTTTGAAATATGTCTACTCCGGCTATCATTCCTACATTCATTGACCACATCCTTTACATTGTTAATTTTTTTACGCAGAAATTTATTGATATTGTCAACAATTTGTTGGAATCTAAAAATGATGCGGGTTGGAAAAATACCAAACCTGCAGGCGTGGAAGGGGACAACCTTCTCCTGGTGGTTGAGGAGTTTGCAACTGTTGTAGCAGACATATTGGAGGAACAGATGAAGAGAGGTGTAATACAGTACAAAGAAAAACCGGAATTAGAGATCAGAGAACACATTGGTAGGCATTTCGCTTATGTTGGTATCAAAATCAATGCTATAGTATGATATAATTATGTTAAGGATAAAAGATCCATTTATTTCTTTAAATTATATATTTAGCTTAAGACTATTAAGTTGTCATAAAATAAAAGTCCAGTGACATCATTACGTTGTCATAAAATAAAAGTCCAGTGACGTCATATTAAGAAATTTATTTTTAGTCTATCTTACTATTGAATACGAAGTATGAAATACATATTTTCTATACATATAGATGGGATATAGACTTTTTAAATTCTGAATTTTATTTAAACAGATGTTTAGGCCCAAGGGACAATTTAATTCAGCAAATTTTCCTTTTCTCTCAACAAAGTATAATAATACATGTTTAAAGAAGCTTTTAAGGCAAAATTAATCATTAAAGTAAATTTAAAGTATCATTTATAATTTTTTTTATAGTCGAAGGTATTTAAAAATAATTACACGTATATCTGCATTACGATATATCGACGACGGATTGTCAATTAACAATGGTTATTTCCACTCATGTCCATACGATATATCCAAATGAGTTAGAGGAAAAAAATACCACAGAGTCTGATCATGACGCATCTGTTTCATATTTGGATATTTTACTTTAAAAAGACGTGTATGGTAATCTGACAACCAAGCTCTATGTTTAAACTTGATGACTTTAATTTTTCAATCGTTAACTTTCCTTACTTATGAAGCAATATATCTTCATCACCTCCATACGGGGTTTATATCTCACTTGATTTGATACATGTACGCAAGAGGTTTCTCTACCTATGAACAATTCCTAAAACTAGGTACTGTAATTTATTGACAGACAAGTTGATGAAACAAGAATATCAGCAATCTCGTTTAAAGTCATCATTTTATACGTTCTATGGTCGATACAATGACCTTTTCACGAAATACAGAAGATGGGGAACAAGGCGAGCAGACTGCCTGTAGCGTCAGATATTAAGAAATCATAATTATTCAATATGTGAATTGTGTATTTAAACCAACTTCTCATTATTAAAATTCTGAATTTATGAGAAAAAAACCTTTTCTAAGAGCTAGAAAAAAAAATCTCGTAAAACATTTTTCTTTTATAAAAAATATTAGATGGTACAATGTATTCGTGGGATTCGAACCCTAGCAATAAAAATCCAAAGTATCAGACTGCTTTCAAATTGAGACTAACGCGCTAACCACTATGCTACATGGCTCATGAATATTTCGGACATTTAAATCATGTTTGTTATATGACCCTTGACTTAATGGACTTGAAGTATTTCTCAGAAAGATGCGAATTTTGTGTCAAAAAAGTGTACTTTTGAAGTATAGTGGGTCTTCGCTCCATGTTTTTGTACACCAAAAAATGTATATTTTATTGCAAACTTTTAGGATTATCTTTCAAAAAAATGGAGCTAAGACCCACTCATATCAAAAAAAGATTGTTCGAGTATGAGAAAGTGTCGTTTTTGTTGTTTTTAGTGTGTGTATGCTTTTTCATGGGCAAATAATTTCAGTGTTTGTGAGATTTTTGTAAATTGTAGAGATTTTACATTAAGTATACTTTAATATTTAGATGAAATATCAAATAAAATTTGGATATAATTGAAATTCAATTTTTTATTTCTTATCTTTCGCACTATAGACATTTCGCCTGCCTTATCCCCCCCCAGCTTCTTTATCTTAGAGCAAATGATTACTGACGTTTTTCATACTAATTGTTAGACCATTATTTACACACTGAATTGACGACGGATTTTTTCGTTATTTCCCGATCATGACAATGAGCACAAATCGGGTGTGACTGGTCGGCAGGGGATAAGATGCTCACTCCTCCATGTTTGCTCTGCTCCTATTTTGTATTGTTTTATGGACTCTTGAGAATGCTATTTGTTATCTACATGTATATAGCTTAAAATATATGCAGGTATTGATATATTAATATTATGTTTATTTCAAATTATAACTTAGTCGAATCTGCACAACTTGAGGACTTGCAATTAACTGCATCCTACAGGATATTGTGGCGAGTTAGACCTATGGCTATTCTTGCAACATAGACATACATGTAGTTACAACAGAGACAAATTCTAGTTGCAATCTAATTCAATGAAACATATGGAGATAACAAACAATATTCAAGATCAAAAGTCCCCAAAACAATACAAACTAGTGCTAATTGTAACGGGGACCGTTACAGATGTTCCCCAAACGCTCCCCAACTCCCTTTTGGTGCCATATTCCCTGTAAGCTTTATTTATTAACACAAACTCTATGCATTTGAAATTTTAACAATGTTTACCCAGAAATGTACCATGCTCATTCAAATTTTAGCATTGCACGTGTGCACATGTGAAGGCATATACGTAATGACCATATCATCTTGTCTACACAATCTATATATTTTAATATACTAAATATTAAAGTATTTAATCCAAAAGTATTAAAAAAAATTCGCTCATTCAAGTGTATTTTTGATTTTACCCATTTCACGTGCACGCACGTGCATACATGAGCATGGTGACCATACCTTCTTGTAGAAGTTCATTAAATCTATCTATGTTCTAAATCCCATCCCGTTTGGTTGAAAACCAAGGGAGTTAAAACTGTTTAAAGTTTCAGCCAATCAGATTGCAGCGTACGTATACGTACATGTATGCATGTGCATGGAGACCATACCTTCTTGTAGATGTCCATTATATATATCTATGTTCCAAATCCCATCCTGTTTGGTTGAAAACCAAGGAAGTTATAACTGTTTAAAGTTTCAGCCAATCAGATTACAGCTCACGTACACGCACGTGTATGCACGGCATGGTGACCATACCTTATTGTAGAAGTCCATTTTATATATCTATGTTCCAAATCCCATCCTGTTTGGTTGAAAACCAAGGGAGTTATAGCTTTTTAAAGTTTCAGCCAATCAGATTGCAGCTCACGTATACGTACATGTATGCATGTGCATGGAGACCATACCTTCTTGTAGATGTCCATTATATATATCTATGTTCCAAATCCCATCCTGTTTGGTTGAAAATCAAGGGAGTTATAGCTATTTAAAGTTTCAGCCAATCAGATTGCAGCGCACGTGCATGCACGTGTTTTCATGATAATTTCTATGTATCATGTTGTAGGATATCCTAATGCATGGCTATGTTCAAAATTTCAAAGGATCTCCTCAAAAAACAAGAAAGATATTGAGACTTTAGTTTCAGCCAATCAGAGCAAAGCGCACGTGCATGCGCGTGAGATCTTGCTATTTTGACCATTTCATATTGTCTATATTACTAATATATCCTTACATTATGAGTTTCAAAGCATTTCATCAAAAATTTAAAAAGTTACGCCTATATCAATTAAATCGGTCATTTTACATGTTGCACGTGCGCGCTCTTGCAAGCACGTGCGCGCAAAATGACCTTTGTTCGGCAAATCTACATAACATGTCTATTGACCCTAAAAACATTTTACCTTAGTCGGATGTGTAGTTTACAAGATCACTCAAGGACAAAATTTTCCCAGGAATAATAATAATAACTAGATGCGTTCTTGTTGCTGATGCAACAAGCAGGTCTTCCGACCGCTTTTCGTTAGAATTCTATGCTGCGTCATCCTATGAAATAGATTTCAGAATGTAATTTTTCCGTTTACGTTCATTTACAGCAGCCTTTTAACATACCTCATGATTATTACAAGTATTCCTCAAAATATCTCAAAAATAGCTTTTAAAAATCGGCAAACTCTTTCATACGTAATATAAAAGAGATAAAAGTCATTTGCAACTGAAAAAAGACATAAACAAAGAAAAAAAATTTGATACGGCCCCAGCGGGACTCGAACCCCCGACAGTAGGACAAAGTTTGATTCTGTCATATCTTTTCAATATATGCACGCATCAAGATACTGAACACATATTTGGAATTCTCATAAGACACACTATAAACCATGTAAATCCTAAAGAAAAATATTGAAAAACAAAAAAGTTGAAAATTGGGACGTTTTGAATTCACTTCCGTTTGCGACCGGAAGTGCCGACGACGAAAAATAAAGGTCGTTCACCATAACGGAGTTTGATGTTCTATCACCTCAGTGAGTTTCACTTTCATATGTTCAGCTGTTCTCGAGAAAACTGCTGGACAAAATGCCTTTTAAAAAAAACAAAAATCCCCAAAAATCGCGAAAGAAAGTGAATTTTAAAAAAAATGAAAAACACGTCTGGAGATATTCACATGATACATTTCCCCTGTGAAAATCTTTGAAATCCGTCCACGCACAGCTGAGATATCGGCTGTACTATGAAGAAAGAATAATAATAATAATAATAGAAAACAGAAGGAAAACAATAAGGTCTTCCGAAGGAAGTCGGAAGACCTTAATAATAATAATAATAATAATAAGAAACAGAGTAAAAACAATATGTTCCCCAACTTCGTTTGGGGAACATAAATAGGAGCAGAGCAAACACGGACCTCTAAAACGGAGGTATGAGCATCCTCTGCTGACCGGTCACACCTGTTGTGTGGTCCTTGTTATACAGTGTGTAAATAATGGCCTAACAATTAATATGAAAAACGTCAGTCAGCATTTGCTCTAAGATAAATTGTGTTACCTGAAAAGGTCATTGTATCGACCATAGAACGTATGAAATGATGACTTTAAACGAGATTGCTTATACTCTTGTTTCATAAACTTGTCTGTCAATAATTACCTTGTTTTAGGAATTGTACATAGGTAGAGCAACCTCTTGCGTATCAAATCAAGTGAGATATAAACCCCGCATGGATGTGATAAGGTATATTGCTGCAAAGGGAAGTTGACGATAGAAAAGTTAAAGTTATCATGTTTATCATAGAGCATAGTTGTTAGATTACCATTAACGTCTTTTTCAAGTAAGATATACAAATATGAAACAGATGTGTCAGACTCTGTGGTATCAAAAAGTTCGATATACATTAGTGAAAAGGTTTTTCGATGGCATATAAATAATTTTTTCAAAGATGCACATTTTAAAAACATTAACATTTATCTTTCAAGATGAAGAGACCAACTTTCGTCATGTAAAGAAAACGCTCCAAATTGTGACACTTTCCAATTAATCGGCAAATACAAAATTTAATATAAAATTTGTATGTACTATTGACTGTATTCCAAAAATATTAGAAGAAATTCAAATACTAGTAGCCTAAGATATACTAGTAATATTAAGAAATAAAATTTTATTCTTCATCCAGAATACAAACTAGAGATACAGAGGAAAGATTCGATGAGAGAGTTTATGTTCCCTGACGGTTCTGATGGCGTGCTGTTTGGATTGAATGGAGAGGCAGGCGAGGTCCGATATTTCCCTTCTGATGGCGATGCCCTGGGCAACATGACTATTTCATCTGGTAATTTTTATTCTGCAGTTTCTATAGTACATCCTCTCCCAATTTATAAATTCTTTTCAATAGATGCTTGGTATTTTTGAGTAAACACGTGTACTGGTTTATTACTTTTTGCAACTCTTTATGTTTATGTTTATATAGAATTGATGTTATTTAAATTTTAAAAATTGTTGTTTTTTTTTTGTTTTTTTTTTTTTTATACTTTTAAAGTATGGAAATTAGCCATTGCAATTTGATCCCCTTATATAAATAAATTGTGCATTTCAGATTATGTAAAACTATCTGGATTCCGATTCAGGAACTTGGCAAAATATCTACCGAATCATGCAGGGTAAGTTCTTATTTTTATACCCCGGGATCGAAAGATCCCGGGAGTATATTGTTTTTTTGTCCCGTTTTTCTGCTAATTTTTCTGTTTACATGTATCTGTTGTAAACTTTAACCTCACCCATAACTATTGAGTGGGTGGGACATATTTCACAGGTGTATTCTTTGTAACAAGACCTTCCTTTAGGTACACACACTTTTGAACTGTTGTTCCTGGACCTTTGGAGATTGACATGCATTTGAGAGAATTCAACCCTCGCCATAAGCTGCCTACGGGGCATCAGTTTTTCACAAACACATAATATTGTTTCTTTTTTTCGTAGTATTTTTACTATTTTATGTACTCAGTGTACAGTATTTAAATCTAGTGATTATGTATCTTTTGCAGCAAAAGCAAAGAAGATAATGTGAACTCAGCCATATTAGCTCTTTATATCCACAATACAGAGAACTATACACCGTATAACCTGAGTACGCCAATCAGATACCACGCGGCCTACCTAGACGTAAGTTTCCTCTTTTGATAAATCGGCGTCTTTTATAACCCTTCAAAGTGCCTAAAATATTTCTATCTTCTTTTTCAGACATTTAATATATCAAATGCTGAGTGTGTAAGGATCGAACACCCAAATCGGAACAAATCAAGGTTGCTTATACATTTCACATCATTATTTTATTTGAAATATGTTGATTTTATAAATTTTAATAAGAATCATACTACTTGTAATTTAGAGTTTCATGACCATTGTATTATAGAAATTATCCAGATCATGTATAAACTATAAGGACAGTTGTTTTCATATTAAAGTCAGAGCCAGTGGTTTTGGAGTAGGGATCAGTGTATCCTGGTGTCAGACACAGGTGGAGAGGGCTACTGTGAATGCTATATGCCTGGTGTTTTTGCCCTCATTACGGACATGTATAATGTTAACGTGAGTGGATGCTTATAACTGATCCTATATTTATCCATGGGGAAGAAAAACAATGACTTAACCTCAACTTTACAAAAAAGTATTTTGTTGATCATATTTTAATACCGTATACTTTTTAAAAATTTTGTTTTAGTGGGATAGAGGCATTAAAAGACCCATTCTTATGAATATTGCGTCATATGCAGGGTGCGCATTGACAACTGTTATGTGCCTTGTCAGCATCATTATTCACGTTAGATTCAGGTAGGTTACCAGACTTAAAACAAAACTATATGATGATTGTTTTTGTTTATTTGATTGTTTCCTTACAAATAAAAAAACTGAATATGTTTCTAGATCATCCACTACCACTGCATCACTCCATAAGAATTTGGCAGCGTCCATTGTCATAGGTCAGGTGGTATTTATGGCGGGTATAGACAAGTACGACAACCCTGTGAGTAAATAAAAATAATTTGTTGTTATATGTATATTTCATTTAAAAAGGCGAGTGGAATGAGATTTAGAAACTGCTAAATCATAATTGGAATAGCAAACTAAAGAAAGAATACTCTTCTATCCTTTTTATCTTTTTTTTTCAGGTGATATGTCACATTTTTGCGATTTTATTACATTATGCATTCCTGTCCAATTTCTCCTGGTTGATGAACGAAGTTTTTAATCAGTATATTGTCATCACGTATGCTGCCCATTCTCACTCTGACCAGCTCACAGATAACGGGTCAATGATTCGTTATTACGTCCTCGGCTGGCGTAAGTCCTCAGATTAGTTAATATTTTAATAATAAAAGAAAGAAATGCTTATTTTCGTAATAATAACAATGGAGTATCCTTTCTTGCAATAAGATTTTCTCGAACACTCCCCAAAATTTGCATTCAAAGTAATAATTGTTTCGTAGTAATTTATAAAAGGATGATTAAAAACATTTTAAACAGATCCATTAACCCCACGATTTGGTACATAAATCATTTCTGTGTTGAAGGTTTAGTACTAAGATTTGCACAAATTATTTTAAAATAACATAAATTGGTCATTAACCTGGCTATCTTATATTCAAAATAAAAACCGAATTAATCAGTTAAAAATTATTCATTTGTCAGTTTTTCCCGGTGTTTTGGTGGGCGCCTTTGTTGGATCCCAAGGAGAATCCTATTATGCGAAAGATATGTACGTAAAACTTTTCTTCTTATTTATTACAAATTTATGAATTTCAATTTTGCAACCTCAAATAAAACTTCTGAAGAAAAAAATACCAGTGTATGTTGTTTGCTAGGTGCTGGATTGCCTGGGATAACATTTGGTTGTTTGTTGCCCCTGCGCTTGGATTACAAGCAGTATGTCACTGAATCTGAAATCTTTCAAATTATTTTTATAAAATTTCATTACTTGATATAGATCTGAGTAGTCATACAAGGTTTTATTGCATATCGCATCTTTGAGACATTCTTCTTACAGGTTTCTGTAATGGTGATGATTTTTGCAACCAAAGAGCACAACGAAAACTCCTACACAAACAGTGAAAAGACAAACAGAATTATCCTGTAAGTATAAAGAGGCATTGCAACCGTTATGATACAAAGGTTGAAACACTGATGACACATTTAACTCCGGATAGGACATTGTCCAGACTTTTAACTACCATGTCTAATTGTGATGTCCAAAATATACTTTATAGCTCTTGTCGAGATTTCTTAGCAGTATCACAGAGTCTCATGTTGAACTCACACATATGTTCATTTTTAAATATATGAAGTCCTAAAAGTCAGAATCCCACAGAAGATTGGTGAGAGTTTTAGTCCTTAGTACTATCCCATCTTTCTCCCATGGGAGAAAAAGTGTCAGATGGAATATTTACTCCCACTAGGATTTTTTAAATAAATTTGTACAAATGGGATAAATCCCACAGATATTGACAATGAGTAATTTTCTCCCATACATTGTTTAACATGGGATATATCCTATACAGCTCAACGCACTTTTTAAACTCACATTGTGCTTCACAAATTAAAGTCACATTTTTCTTTCAATAAAACTAAAAAATATCGAGTTTTAGTACGAGACATAACCCTTATATTATTAAATATTTCATGTGAAAGGTACATTCTCTAAAATCATTATCGTAAGTTTTAAAAGTCAATGTTCTAAAAGAAAATATGTTTATAAACTGTAAGATGTTAAATGTGTTGATTCTATCGCAGGTATTTATAAATTAACTAATCGAACTTTTTTTGAAACTATTTGGTTGATATGTTCAAATTGGCAAAGTAATTTGAACTTCAATTTTAAGCAAAACAACAAAGAAAACACATATTTTATATATTCATGTTTCTGCACAGTAACCGATTCCAACCGATGATCGATTATGATTATCACTAATGATGTTAAATTGTATTTTATATTTAATTATATCTAGACTTTAATTGACCCATTGATATATTCAGAGGGTTCAAATTAAATCACAGAGATTGTAGATTTAGCTGTAGGCTCCTAAATTTAAAACTTTAGGAGCCCACGTGGCTAGTGAAAATTTTAGTTAATGACATTGTATGTAGAAATTAAGTGTGAAATAAGCAAAACAACAAAGAAAACAATAAAGCCAATTTGAAAAATGACAAAACTGCGTAAAGAAATTATGTGAAAGGATAGGATAATGAGATATTGTTTATCTTTCAACATAGCAAATTGTAAATATTGAAAAGAAGGATATGGAGATATAGAACAGTATTTAATATCAAAGTCCATAAAACAATACAAAATAGGAGCAGAGCAAACATGGACCACCGAAACATCAGAGGTGGGATCACGTGCCATGGAGGAGTGAGCATCCCCTGCTGACCGGTCACACCCGCCGTGTGCTCCTTGTCATCATCGGGAAATAACGAAAAAATCCGTCGTCAATTCAATGTATAAATAATGGACTAACAATTAGTATGAAAAACGTTAGTCAGCATTTGACTTAATGATAAATTGTATTTGCTGACAAGGTCATTGTATCGACCAGGTATTCTTGTTTCATCAACTTGCTTGTCAATAATTTACCTCGTTTTAGGAACTGTTCATACGTAGAGCATGCTCTTGCGTATCGAATCAACTGAGATATGTAAACTCCGTATGCAGATGATGAAGGTATATTGCTGTATAAGTAAGGGAAGTTGACGATAGAAAAGTTAAAGGCATCACGTTTATCATATACCGGTAGCTTGGTCGTTAGGTTACCATCAAGTAAAATATCCAAATATGAAACAGATGTGTCAGGTCCTGTTCTGTCTTTTATCTCAAGCTCTCCAGGATATATCATATAGACGTAGGAATGGAAGTTACCTTTGTTATATAATTGACAATACGTCGTCGATATATCTAAATGTCGAGTTGAAGGCCACAGCAAGTGTTTTCTTCTTTTCTCGCATAAGATTTTGCACAAATTCTGCTTCATATAAATACAAAAATAGGTTTGCCAATAACGGAGTAATTGGTACCCATTGGAATTCCATTAGATTGTTGAGACCTGGTCTCCCAAAACCTCATAGATACTGTCAATCAGAAACTCAAGCATCTTTTTGATATCAACTTCAGAGTACTTGTGTGTGCAATCAGAATGTGTTTTAACAAAATAATTTTGAAAATGACCAATGACCAGGTAAGTAAATTTACGAGTTCCATTTTTATTGAAAAAGCAGCTGTAAAAGAATATTTTTTACATTTATGGTCTGCAACTTTGAAATTTTGCGTTGGAAGGTATCTTTCATGATGCTAGATTTCAGGAAGTTAACCTGGAAAAAAAAATGTCACCTTTTAAATTTAGAAAGCAGCCGAACAGATGAGAAATACTAATATCATCTTGCGTTTTTTGTCATATTTATGTACAGAAAATACAGAAGTTACTGTTTCCGTATTAAGGCAAGGCAAAAGTATGCTTTAAAATGAACGAATACTAAGACGTTTGCATTTGAAGAGAAACCATGAAAAAAATATTTTGGAAACTCATAATATATCATCCAAGAGCATTTAAAAATCTTACCAATTATTACAATGTATGTGTGAATTATTGTAATAGAATGTGATCAAAATTAAGTTATAAATCATTTTTAAAATATATTTTGTTGTCACGTCACACAATTTTGGATTATAACAATGTGACCTTACTTTGTGCGAAAATCCATGTGATATTAAAAAGTGCGTTGAGCTGTATGTTACGATATCTCAATCATCAAAACTTATAGGATACATCCCATGTTATAAATGTGGGCTAGTTTTTAGACTAAAAATTTCACCATTCTCCCATAGGATTCTGACTTTAAGGACTTCACATCCTTTAATATAGACATATTCGTAAGCTCAACATGAAATGCCACCAATTGCTATAATTTAGTTTTTGGCATTACAGTTAGAAATGGTAGTAAAATCTCTGGACCTAAGTCCCACGGTAAGACGTAGACTTAGCTGTTCTGGTGATACCTAATGAATCTAGTCCCGTGTTGCAGTAAAACTGAAATGAAAATAATATATCACTTCTTCATAGCTCTTTAAAACAAGTAAGTTTTAATCTGAAGGCCCTCTTCCTGCAATTTGTCGGGAGTCTGTGTTCGCTGTGCGACGAATAAAACATAAGATGTAAAAACATATAGAGAGAGAGTGTTCCAAGTGCCCTGCACTAGAACTAAAGTCAAGGTCTAACGGAAAAAGACCCTCTCTTCTCAGAGGCCATGAAAGCCTAGAATATGTGCATATTTGAGGCCCTTTACAATCATATGGTGACGTTTCTATTTAAGTGAAAGATTTTTGAAAGAGACATAAATTTAAATATCATACAATTCATCGATCAGTCAAGGGGCTTCATCTATTAATAATGTTCATTTTATAACGGTTACCTTGAAATTTAAAAAAAGTAAGTTATTTTTTCAATAGTTTATTTATGTCATCATTTATGATATTAAATTTCAAATTAAAATTGATGGTTTCCCGCCATTTTTTTCAAGGATTCAGATGCGTGGCTTGTGGATTCAGATAATTTTGGTGACGGTCTCTTGGGCGTTTGCCTTCCTGTCGCTGAGAATGCATGATTCCGTTATCAAGTATCTCTATGCCATGATGAATATATTACAAGTATGAGATCAAATGAATTTATTTGTTGATTCAAAAATATGACAAGAATTAGAACGTTCTCTTCATAAAAATTATAATTCTTTTTGCCTCTATAGTAAAGTGGTATTTTTTTTTTACTATTAAAGTTCATTAATGAAATACTCGAATGATATATGACTTTATTGAATTCACTGGTAGAATACTTCAATAAAATCAGTACCAGTTTTTTTAAGTGACATCCTTTAAATTGTATTTAGTATTCATGATTACTCTCTCTAATGAATAGTTTCTACTTTTTTTGAATTTTCGTTGACTATTACTTATGAAAGTGTCTATTTCCTATTTTAAAAGGTAGTTGTGCATAAATAATCAGTTTAGATCTGCAGATATTTTACATGATAAAAGATGTGAAATGAAAACAAGATTTCATGCCCTGAAATGTTTTTTTTTTCTTATAAATTATGAAAATAATGATAAAAAATAATGTAAGTTGTGAAGAGGAGATACATGCAGTAAAAAGACATTTCATATAACACACATCATTTACAGTGTAGTATTAACATCTCAGATAAATAGTATTGTAAATTGAATTAATCAGTGTATTTCTGTTTCCTTTTCAGGGCGCTTTTGTCCTAGTGTTTTTTGTCTTTCTACATGAGGAAGTAAGTAATTAAGGAGAAATTTTCATTGTTAAACAATAAATTTGATGAATTTAGGAGAAAATGTCAGGAAATTGTTGAAAAAAAATTGTAGGAACTCAAAAGTCCTTTTTTAATTATATTATTTTGAAAGCTTGGTGCCCCTTCTTTCTCACTTCCCCCTCTCCTTTCTCCTCTCCTTCTCCATCTTTTCTTAATCTCGTAAAAATTTCTTTCACACATACTTTTCTTGTCTTGTATATAACTGTGATTGTTTGTATTCTTAACTTGTATGATTGAAGATTAAATAAGAGAGAAAAAAGAATGATGTAAATGAATGTTTTTTCTTACGTAGATACAAGCTGTATTAAAAGCGAGGAAAACTAGGAAAACCTTGATTGTGTTCGATCCCGACCGCGATCAGTCTATGGAATCATTGTTCAATCAAGAAGAGGAAAAGGTAGAGTTATCTCTCTTTGAATATTTGCCATAAACTTATGGAAGACTAACTTAAAGAAGGGTAGGTCACTTTAAAGCTGAACACTACTAATAAAAGACACTTTCTGCCATATTTTTCTTTTATCATGCTATCCCCCATGACCCCGTTATAAGCCATAAAAGGTCTCTTTTTAAAGTAAAAAAAATATGTCTGTTGGATCCAGAAGTCGGACTCTAACTTTTGAAAAAGACTTAAGAGTACTTTTCATTCATCGTTACTTTTGGATATTTAGCAGGCTAAACGTTTTAGCATACATGAGCTGAAAGCTTAAGTGAGCTTCTCTGATCACCCGTTGACCGTCGTCTGTCCGTCCGTAAACTTTTTACATTTTCAACTTCTCTTCAAGAATCAATAGGCTAAACTAAACCAAATTTTGGTACAAAGCATCTTTGGATAACGAAAAGTTTAATTCATAAAAATAAAGGGCTAAACGCCTCCTATAAGTGGGGTCAATAAAGAAAAAAAGGTGGAGTCATTGAAAATCTTTTTTTTTTTCAAGAACTTGGCCTGAAAATCTGAAACTTTTTTGGAAGAATGTTGGGTAGTGTAGATTTTCAATTGTTCAAATCATACCATGATGGGGTGGGGGTGTACTTGTAGTGGTTACAATATTGCTTACAAAATCATATATTTTTGCACGATATTTAAATGAATGTTATGTATTATGTATGAATATTACAGTAAAATATCAAAAATTGAATATTAACTATATTTGTTCTACGATATATCAGGAATACTCGGACACAGAACCTCTGAACAGGAAAACTGGAAGCCCGAAACAAGTGGTCAAGTCTAAAGTTCACGAGGCAAAGAAAGACATGTTTAGTTTAGCTGAGAAGTGTGAAATGGTGACTAGCGTGTAAGGATAGTGTATCTGTATTTCAAGGATAAAGTAGCAGTCACAAAAGATTATGCTTAGATGTCATTGTATTTTGTACATTTTTATAGCCATCGATTTATTTAAACAATTTATTTTAATAAAAAAAGAAAACTAAAAAGTCTTTTTTATTATTAATTTGGTATGCAATAAATACCAAAAAATATGTTTAAACTTACAACGACATTGTGTATGCATACGGAATATAATCCATTTGTAAGGCTTTATTTAACACACAGGAAATCATATAATATCATTTCCTTGCAATTGCATCAAATGTGCCCTAATGTGCATGCTTAACTTAACGGAAATCTATGCTAGCAAAAATATATGTTTTACTTTTATCTTGGCAATGAAGGGGATGACTTGTTTTGGTTAGATCAATAAGTCTTTATAGAGTTTTATGTAGTTAGATTTCACCGGAATAGAAATCCGACAAAGAACACATAACTGGTTAAATAGCAATAACTTCCTTGATTTCATAGAAAAAAAAAAAGGATATTGCTCTACAAAGAAATGACTAGCTGTTCCATTCTGTATTTGAAAAACATTTTAGAAATGAATTCTAGTTCCCAAATTATACTGTATAACATGGGTGGGGCAGTTTATGCCCTATAAACCGCGAAATGGTAAAATATGGTAAAACTGTTTCAAACCATGCATGTTATACCAGGAATAACTGGGTAACTTTTAAATTCATTCCTTATAGCTCAATTTTCTATTATGTATATCTAAGTGTAAACAATACATCAAAATATCCTTCATAAATGGCTTCAAATTTTAATTGAAAGTAACGTCAAGCAGAGTAATACGTTTTAGACGTAAGTCATCATGATTTTGACGTTGGCAATATACAATTTTTATCCATTCAAATAACGTGTTACAAAAGAAATCCAATTTTTATTTTCGCACACACACAAAAAATCAGCATGCATTACCAAAGGTTTATGATAGATATCGCATGATGGTAAAGCTTCTATTATTCAAAGAAAATACATAACAATTACTAAATAATAATACATTTTTGGTGGGTTTTTTTCATGACAAGGGGAACACGACGGGTGTCATCGGTGGACAGGGGATGCTCACCCCTCCATGCCACCTGATCCAACCTCTGGTGTTTTGGAGGTTGTCTATATTTGTTCTGCTCCCATTTTGTATTGTCTAATGGAATTTTGAGCTGGAATTGTGTTCGTTATTTCCATATATTTCATCATCAGATCATTGTAAGATGGATAAAAAATAAAGATACATACAATAAAAACATCTCCAAAAAGTATTTTTAGGTAGGTATAAATTAGTTTTACCTATGTTCAATTCAATTTCTTCTCTCTTAAAATCAATCATACCTATTTTCCATTCTATGAATTTAAAAATATCTTAAATTCTGTTTTGTCTACGAGTATCATCAAATGACTGAAGATGGTATAATTGGAAATTAAACGTATCTTTAATTAATTTTAATTTTGAGATATGACCAGTTGATTTATGGATAGGTACTAATATTATGATACAGATACAGAAAAAATGAATGTACTTCTCTTAAAATAAATTGAAGGTAGTTACAATTAAATGTACATTGTAGTATGAAACTGTTCTTTGAAAGGCTTATTGTTTCCTATCCTCGCATTTTTTCTTTTGGTCGAAGTTTACTCATACTCTTATAATTTATTTCATTTCCCCCCTCAAAACACGTTGAAGACCCCCTCCCTAACACAGACTTGCTGTTTGGACAATTTTCTCTCCATTTGAATCTCTATTCTATTTCTAAAACATAAATGTTTTTTTTTTACTTGGAAGTTTCTTAAAAACAAAACAATTTAATTATCATACACATGGAATACTGATCAAAGATTTTCAAAAACATATCTTTAACTTAGTCACGACTCATGGAGCTTTTATTATGTGTTCAAACGACGCGTGACTGTGTCAGCGCTGACGGCATTAGTTTGTAAATAATTATTGAGACAACCCGCTTTCTATTGTCCAGATTCTTTGAGACTATGGCAACAAAATTGCTTTCCATCTGTGACTCGCCAACTAGTAATATTATTAAATGCTCATTTGTTCTCACATATGCTGCAGAAACAAGAAGCAGTCATAGATTTCAGAGTCCAATTGAGCCAATTACGAAAATATTATATGCTTGGAAAATGTGAACATTTTAACATCTACAAAAATTAATTCTAATTCTTGAAAATAATTAATGTAAATCTCAAAATGCATATATTTGTTTCATGTTTGTTTTCAAAAGCAAGGGATTAATTTTCAAATGTGAATGAGGGTTTTCTTTTTTATTCGCTGAAAAAATTGTTTATTGTTCAAAGGATGTCCATGTATACGATAATGCGTAACAAGAAACGTAAATTATCTAATTGCTTTGATGTCTGAGAGTTGATGCAGATTATATTGTAAAACAATGCCTCATTTTATTGTTTGTTGTTTAACGCACCTTCGTGAATTTTTCACTCATATGGAGATGCCACCGTGAACAGCTTCAATTTTTTAAGGTCTTCCGCTCAGGCGGAAGACCTTCTACTGATTCTGATGGTTAAGATTATTCCTATTATTCTTTTTTTTTTTTTTTTCCTAGACGCCAACTTTGAGACCTCGTAACTCGCTCATTTCTTAACGGATTTCGCTCAAAATTTCAGAGTTTTTGGACGTTACAAAACTCAGTTAAAATGTTTTCATACATTTCAAAAATTCCCTTCTGCTTTCGAGTTATTTCCCTTTAAATGAAAATTTGGTACTGTTCGTTTCCAGACAAAGGCTCAGAAACGACAAAAGCTGGAGCAGAATGTCTACTGCATTTAAATACTAAAAGAATTGAAGTTGTGCACATCGGTTTTTCTTTTTCGATTTATGCGCTCAAAACAGTGTTAGATAGGGGTCAAAAATGAGAATGCCTAAAAGCGCCAAATTTTACATATATTTCCTTGTGTATCTTTTAAACTAAAAATAATTTGTTAAGACATGTTTCACAAATATTGTGCATAATTTTAAGATCTATCATTTGACATCATTAAAAAGGGGCTGGCCCCTCAAATTAGGGGTCAAGGGAGCTTGAAAGTTTTTGCATTATAACTCAAAAACGGTAAATATTTCGATATGGTTATCGATTTGAAATGGGTCTTTAACATCTTATTGATCTCATGAAAACGTTATTTGTTCGAATCTTGTGTTATTAAATGAGCAGCAAACTTTATAATCCATGTACAGGTAACTGATTAATTTTATACAGCAAGTGAAGAATTCTTTATGCGTACGCGAATAACACGTACTATAACTGAAATAAACTGGATAAGAATAATATACTTAACTAAATTGAATGTTAAACTTTGTTGAAATAAAGTCTTTAACGTATTCTCTAGCTGGATGTCATACAGATTATTCAGAGACAACTTTCTCCTTGTACATGTTGTATTTAGTTCAAATTACAAGACGGGAGATAGGAAAAATACTTATCATCTTTCATTCGATTGATACTCAATGTAGCATTATTTATAATAAAAAAAAAATCAAGCTTAAAATAATTCACTGTCATTTAATTTTTCCTCGGACTTTGACTGTTTTTGTTTACAATTGTGCAACCCGTTTATCGATCGCGCATTGACCTATATACATTCCGGAGGTCAACATATTACCGCTCTTTGATTTTTACGCGAGTCCCAGAGTTATCTAAAACGATGCTAGTCATCGATTTACTCAGTTTAAAATCAAGAATTTGACATAATATTTGCGTAAATCGTAAGAATATTTCTAGACACAAATATAAAGGTTTTCTTGAACATATATGAGTATTAAAAGATAAAATGTCTGATTCTATTCTTTGACGAATGAATAAAAGGCGTTGCGATTTTACTCAGGTACAGATGATTTCTCTGGACGAGTCCATCGGTTACATTGATAGGTGACGCAGGATGACCTATCGATAACTCTACCAATTTTGATTGTGATTGTAATTGCACATGTACATAAATTAATGTTGAATTCTACACTTGTGAAGTACATTATAGTTTCGTTATTTAAAGAATCGGGATATCACAACTGCAACTTAATTGTTTTTAATTTGAACGGATGATTCTATTATTGGAATGGTACACATATTTAGGCGCCATCGTCTCCCTCTCGACTTTGAAGTAATTGCAATCGTTACATGTATACGGGCCTATATCAAGTTATTCTAGTTGCTTAAATCATTTCTGGAAAAATTGCGATGTTGTTTATAATAGCAATTACAAACAAACATGAGAAATGCACACAGTAAATTGTAAGTGGAAGTGACGTTTTCAATTCTCATGAAAATCGAAAATTAAATTATAAATTTCTTTTATTTCATCAAATAAAAAGCTAGAATATCACAATGACACGATTTTATGTGCATGTACTTGATATTAACTAAGTCTGCCCTTCTACTTATTAATCTATAAGTACATGCTGTTTTACACAGAAGAGCACCCAACATATATGAGCTTTAAGAATACGAGAAAAAAAATGAAGAATTAGAAATTTTTCTTACAAATTCAAAATTGCTTCCTTTAATTTCAAACAAATATTCCAAGCCTTTAAATTCTTTCGTGTTTATTAGACTAAAAGAGATTAAATTATTAAATTTCCACTCATTGCGATACGTAACCCCCCTGAAATGATACAATGCTTTCCTTCAGACTCGAGAATGGCAGGCCAGGGCTGGTGTTGAAATCCATGATTAATCCATAACCTATTATAATATTAACCAATAATCATACGCGATCTTTTTTTTTAATTCGCAGGTTGTCAAATAAATTTTTTTAAAAAGTCGGCAAAGATAAGTACGCGTCACTAAACTTTCTTATTCATAAACTTTTTAATTTCTAAAACTTGTGCCGATTAGAGTATACAATCGAGCATCGAAGTGTGTACATGTACTACATGTACTACAGTGTAGTTGTTTTTTTTTTTTTTTTTGGGGGGGGGGGGTACCAGTTTTCGCTGCATTTGATTTCCCGAATTTTGCATTGCATTTCCGACAATTAATAATTTTATTTGTTACATTCATTATTTTCATTCTAGATTTTTACACTATTGTTTTTAGCAATTCAACGTTTAACAAAG